ATTTTATGCTTTAGATAATATGCAAAAAAACCGTGGCTCATGCTATGACACCAAGAATCCCCCCCCCCCTCTCCCCATGCACACACACTTTAGATTATCGAGGACCGCAAAGGCCACTTTTTTATTTTTTGTAAATATAGGTTGTAATATATCTTTTTGTTCAGGAAGAAATGACATTAAACAACTTTATTATTTTATACACCTCAAAGCTCTTATTTCGATTTTCAACCCCTTTGGCCTCCTAGGGTCTCCTTTTCAACTTTTGGGTAAATTCTAGTTTGCATCTAAAACGGGCCTTAGAAATATTTTCCCTCATTTCACCAACTGGAAAATTTTTTTGAAAAACAACCTATTTGTAACCTAACCCTAAATTTCTCTTGCATTCCCTAGTCTTTCATCTGAAATTAATAAAGACGATAAGAATAAAAGCATACTTTCAAATCACCAGTTTTTGTGATTGCACGAAGAGATGGACCTTAAGTGCACTTCCATTTCCCATATTTTTAAGTAAGCTTTCTGTTTGTGTGATAAGATCACACCACACAAAGGGAAAAAGGCGTGACTCTGGAATGACAAATCAGTTGTCAATCACGTCCTTTCATTTTTGTTGGATTGTATGATTTTGGAAAACACGAAGCAACGTGTGAGTGTCTTTTGGGGGCTAACATGCCACATTTAACTCCTACAATTGTGTAAAATTTTGATCCCAGACAGCAATTTTGAATTCGATGAGTCTTTCTCTTGGGAAAGGGTGAAGTGCTAAAGTTAAAATTTAAGCTAAATAGATACGAATGAAACTCAAGAAAAAAAGAATAAAAAGAAACAAATATACTTATATTCAGTCCTAGTGCAGGGTCAGTAAACTCCCCATCCTTTTATGAACATAATACTGAATTCTAAACAACTTGTAAGTTAATCATAAACAAATTATTACATCATGAACTATTATAATGTAAAGAAATGCTGTCATCTCACAGAGTAGAAAAGAGAAGCCTGGTACTGCCAGCTATTGGCAAGGTACCCTCAGTAGGGGCGCAGGTATATATTATATAGTGGTATTAAAAATGTATACATAATCTTTTCATTATCAGGTTTGATTGAAATGCAGTAAATATAAAAGGTTCAGCATGTGTACGTCATATATTTACAGATTTTGAATTTTTTCCCCCTCTAATAGACTTTATAAATCTTCAAACATGATACCTTGAAATGAGGTATATTAATTTCATAACTGCAAAATATTGAGCATTCATAGGGTGGTGCTGCCATTTAGAATCGAAAGGAAACACTAGAAACTTATGATTATAGCTTTTGGTGTAGAGGAATTAGCATTTTTTCGGAGGTTAAAAAATTTTCAAACAGCCGGTATATATTATATACTGGTGCCCTTCAAAGGGTTAAAGCTAAGCCAAGTCAAGATATCACTCCTTTACCAACCGAAAGAATAACAGAGGCAAATCCCTTTGAAGGTGTTGAAATCGATTTTGCTGGTCCTATGAGTACAAAGGATGAAACTGGGAAGGCTTATATTGCTTTGTATACATGCACTGTAACAAGAGCTGTGCATCTGGAACTAGCATCCCCCCCATTTTTTTTTTTTTTTTTTTTCAAAAAATTTCTTCTGTCCTTTCGAAGATTTATTTCAAGAAGAGGAGTATATTGAATGATACATTCAGACAATGCAAAAGCCTTCGAAAGGGCATGCAATACCATCAAGGACACAGAAGTTCAAAATTAATTTAGTTAATAAAGCTATTGAGTGGAAATATTTAATGTGGAAAGGCGGCCTGGTGGGGCAGTTTCTGGGAAAGGCCAATTAGATCTATCAAATCGTGCTTGAAGAAAATGCTTCAATCAACAAAATATTTCATTTCACGAAAATGAAGGTTTTTATTGAAATTGAGACAATATTAAATTCACGTTTGATGACCTATGCTTATAGTGAAGTTGGAAAACCAGAACTGCTGACACCAGCTTATTTTCTAATTGGACAAGGAGTGACATCTTTACCATCTGACAATTTTCTTGAACCCGATCCAACTAAAGAAAATTTAACAAGGCTATATAATTATCGGCTAAAATTATTAAAAAGTTTTTGGAAAAGGGAATACTTATTTAAAATTAGAAATGCAAAGCAAATTCAGGGAAGTAATGCCATTACATATCTTTTGAAGGGATCTGTAGTTTTAGTACATGAAGAGAAACTACCAGATTATTATGGAATATGGGAGTTGTACAGGCGTGTCAACCAAGACAAGATGGAAAGATTAGGACTTGCATTATCCGTTTAGCTAATAGAAATCATCTTCGTCATCGTGTGCAGTTATTGTATCCCTTTTTTTTTAAGAAATGACTTGAACTGTCATTATATGTGTAGCTGAATGGAATATGTAAAGCATTTTGTTTCAATTCTATTTAATGTTTAAAATATTAGAGATTACACATACGTATTAAGAATTAATGCAGTTGATACAAAAATAATTTTTAACAATTTTTCCAGTGCATTTTCCGCACACAACTTTGGAACAAGATGCACAATATTCTTGAGATTTGTTTCCATTGCATCTCTGTACTTGACATTTTTTCTCTTTATATCCATTTTCTTTTCATGTGTTTTTTCTGAAGACTCAGTATCTTTGAGAGTTTTGAAGCCATATGTACCACTCTTAACTCCTCTCCTAATTTCAGTAGAAAATCTCTCCTGTTAATGGTGTTTCCTGTTACACTTCTATAAATTATCCAGGCGTTCAAAGCTGCACGATCCAAAATATTGAAAAAGCTATGTACAGGCCATCGTCTTGAAGCCGATTTAACTATTTTCAGCACATCTGATTGGGCAACTTTTTGAGACTGTCTTCAGTTTTTACAGTAGAATGTAATGAGCTCAGTAGAAAAACGCTTTTGTTTCTTTTGCCTTGATAGATGGTAAAGTGTCATATGTGTTCCACTATTGTCGATGAATAAAGATTACTACGGATATTTTTCAAAGATAATGGAATTTCTCTTCTGTTCTTTTTCATTGTGCCGACCATAGTTGTATTTTTTTATTTTAGTATTTCTGCTTATTTAATGCTAGTAAAATAGTTATCCATGGTAATATAACTATTGTTTAGATGTGGCTCCGTTAATTTTATGACAACATTTTCAGACAAATGTAATTGAGTATTTGCTGTTTCATCTTTTTCTAGATAAGGAAATCCATTCAAGAAGTATTTAGTATCAATGTCAACAGATAACCAAAATTTTATTCCAAATTTGTCAGGTTTATTAGGCATATATTGTGTAAATCTACACGCAGCTTTAGAAGGGAATAATTGTTCATCAACTATAATATTTTGTCCTGGCCGGTAGCTTGTTTTGCAGCTTTCAATAAATTTGTTCCACATGTCTGATGCAAGAGCAAATTTCTCAGTCTGTAATCGAGTAGATCTTCTTGTCTTTTCATCGAACCTTAAAAATCGTTTTATTTCTTTGAATCTCTTCATTTAGTTTCTTTGCAAAATGGTATTCCTCACGCTTCGGACCACAAGGAATATAAATCTAAGCCCTTTGCTCGTATTACTCCTCGAACATACGCTATAGCGATAAAAGCATCTAACTCAGCTAGAGATAACTTCCAGTCTTTATTTCCAAGTTGCTGATGAGCTTTGGATTCTGTACATTTCTTTATATGCATCAAGATATCATCATCAATAAAAGTCTTTGAAAGCACTAGACACTCTGTCCTCAGAAACATGACTCTTTTACAAAAGATGTTGGTCCTGCTGTTTCTTTTAAAACATTATAAGCAGGAACACGGCCACAGACTGAATTTTTGGAATTTATTTCATTCCATATAGTGTTATCAGGAGCTGTAAAAATAGTTTTGCAAATACCCTGATCCGTTTTTGCCCTTTCATTTCTACTGAGTTTTTCTTCGTTTACTTCGCTGTCCTCAGATTCACTAATAGTTTGTGCCTGGAATTCATCTTTACTTTCTACAGAAAAATTACCAATTTTACCTCTGTTAAACTCATTTTCAGGTAGCTCCTGCAACAATTTTTTAATTTCTTCATCCATAAGACCTTTTTTCCGCTTATTAGACATACTTTGTAAAAGTGGAAAAAGTGGAAAAATATCGAACTATCAAAAAACGATAGGGAATATATTTTAGCATATGATTTTCATAGTGTAAGGGAAAGGTTATAATGAACTTGACGGCGGAATTCATATGTACTCAAATACTGATTTGGGATTACCAAGAAAACATCTGTCCTAACTGTTATCACCCACAGTAAGTAAGCTGAACTAACAAATGGGAAAATACATCTGTAAAATAAATTATTTCTGAAAAGAAATGTAAGCATGAAAAACCCTGTTGCATCTACCTTCCTTGTAGTATTTTTCTTTAAACGAATAGATAATTGCAAACAAAGGAATAACAACTTATGTAGACATTACAAAGTAGTGAGACCACCCAGGTTTTTATCTCTCTGTGAGATAGTATGAATGCAATAGAAAAATCCTTATCAGTGAATTTTTTTCATGGGTTATTTGACAATGCTTCGAGCAGAAAGAGGGATAAAAGTAAAGGAGTCAAAATGACCCCCATCCGCCGTTCTAGGAATACAATACTTCAAAAACTAACAAACTTAGAATGCTGAAAATTATTTTACAAATATTCATTATCTATTTAAGAAAAGTAAAAAAATTCCAAACGATTTCCAATAAAACAAAAGTAATTAATGGTCAGAAGTGTTCAGGGGTCAAAATGACTTCTACCACCGTTCTAGTGTTAAACTAGTAGGCTAGTTGTAACTGTTCAACTTAAAAACTGCTGTAAATGCATTTGACATTCAAAGTTTCCCCCCTTTATAGTTTTAACTTTTTGAAACTTTAATGGTAAATTCTTTGAGATGATAGATTTAAAATTTTGAAATTTTGTGTGTTTTTAAAATTCTATATTTGAAATCATTTGTAGTACATCACTTTTTATAATTTTTCTTTTATGAAAATTCTAGTATGCTAAATATATGGAAGAGCGAGACCCTGATGCTGCAGGTGAAGTTTATGAAAGAGCATGTAAAATTCATTTACCCAGAAAACCTAGCATTCATTTTTCGTGGGCTTCATTTGAAGAAAAAAGAGGTAAAATTGCATAAATTTATTTGTATATATTCTTAGTTAATAATATTTGTTAAGTTTATTCTGTAGAACAAATTTTTATTTTCTCTGTCACTTTTTTTGGGGGGGGGTGGATAATTTATGGTAAATGTTTCCAGCATTTAAAAATAGATGTTGTACTTTTCTGTTACTATGTTGTCCTTTAGGAACAAACTTAAACATTGATGCAAGATCTAACTAGATGGTGGGCAAACTTAGCAACATAAAGATTTGTGAAAAGAGCCACCTAGCAGTGGCCGAGTCATTAAGACTGCTGAATACTAGTAGTGCAGCCAGATTTGTATTTGAACCCTGGCAAAAGGGCTAACTGCATGGTTAGTTTTGGGTTTTTTTTCCATGTACATGATTAGGAGATAGTTTTCTTCAGGAAGTCCTCTACAAAGGTATCCTTCCTCGTAGGAAAATAGCTAACATGCCACTGCCATATCCAAATAACTTAACCTATGTGAAAAGGGCAACTATTTTATTAAATCCAGAATAAATGCGAATTATAAAATACGAGATTAATTTCAGTTTACACGAGAAGCATAAAACTGACTTTCATTCAACCTTGCTGAAAACATTTGTGTCCTTTCGTGCAATAGGTATCACATGAATTCAGTGAAGCAGGAATCTAGATGATGATGACTGATGTTGCTTTGTTGTTTTTATTTCACCAAGCATTTGGCATCCCATTTTAGAATCAGTAAAGCTGTATTTATTTTTAACTTGCTGGTATTCATATTTGAGAGACGCCAAATTTTCCACTTAAGCCAGTGGTTCCAAACTTATGGCCCGTGGGCTACATCCTACAGATTAGACTAACAAAAATATAAATTTGAATCTGTTCCTTTACATTATTCTTAGTTGTGCATTGTGTAGATGAATATTTAGTAAGTGATTGGGTGTCTAAACAAAATAGGATCCACCCCCAAAAAAGAGTCTTATGCAGTAGCCCTTGCTATTTTATAGATTTGCTGTTCTGAATTGGGTATGAAACTATTTCATGTCACATCATAACCTGTGATTATTGAATCAGAAGTACTATTGCTAGAAGAATCATGATTTTTAGTCAGTGAGAGAAGGGAAAAAAATATATATATGAGAAATAAAAAAACGAATATAGAGGAAAATACTATAGAAAACCTAACTGAAAATTATTGAAAGGAATTTTAAATTAAGCTATGTTCAATTCAAATTGAATTGTAAATGTTAATTTTCCAAATGTTTAAGCTCATATGCAACATGCTGTACACACATGTAATCCCAGGTTATAAAAGTATTGTATCCATATATAAAGTTGAGTTTGGGATCACTGGCTTAAGCAACTAAAAACCTAAGAAAATTTCACAGCAAAAATGTCTGTCAAATTTGCAACAGCATCATTGAATAGCTGTTCATGATGTGATAGAACAGGCTACCACATTTGATAATTGATGTCCCATTCACTGGAAAGAACTGTTAGTACTTGTATTGTGTCTGAAATTTGCGTTATTAGATGTACTAGCCGCTTGTTCAGCCAGCTTTGATCTGATGATTTAATGCATACGAGAGTAAAGGTTAGCCATTCAAACAGTTGATTAAAAGAAAAATTCTAGGAAATAGGAAGTTTGTTTTGTAACTTGTAAAAATTTCAAAACTTACAACAGATGATGCACTTTTGGTTGTTGGAATTTTAAAATAATGAATGTGAAGTAATTTTAAAAAAAAAATGTAAAAAAACTAATAAATTATGTTAAATATTTAACATAAACTTAATTTGAAAGATTTGTTCCCATGCTCTAGCTGGTAATATAAGCAATAAAATTCTAAAATATTTAATTTGTAAGCAAGAATATGGCTGAAAATAAAATTTTAAAAATAAATAATAATAATAATAATAATAATAATAAAAACTATTAAGCATGGAAAAAACTGCTTCTTCATCATTTTGACAAAATGTGTGTAAAATTTTGAAGCTGTGGGCTTGTCTGTCTCAGCTCTGTGCAACAAACTCAGAGTTTTTCCATTTTGTACTAATAAAGCTAAATGGATAAAAAGTGCTCATGATAGAATATGTTCACTAGAATGATAGTTCATGCTAGAAAAGAAACAGTGAATATATTAGACCATCAAAGATAATCTTGTTAAAGTATCAAATAGAAGGAAACAGAAAATTTTTAGATTTTTAACATTTTGGGAACTAACAGGAATTTAAAATCAAGACCTTTACTCACATGTTGAAATGAGAAGGAATTTCACAGGTAATTTTCTGTAATGTGCTGGAAAACGTAAGGCAACTTCACGCCAGGTTTTAACTGCAGTCATGAAACGGCTTGTAGTGTTAGGAATATAAAGAACATTTATGTATCAAAAGTGAATTAAACTGTTTTAGTATTAATTCTTTTCATAAACAGTTAAAATTAAATTTTAATGAATGAAGTAAAATTTATGAAATCATTATCTCTTGTATTATTTAACTAACCCCGTGTCTTCTCCACAGTATCGTAATTTTTAAAAGAGTATACGTGAATATTTTGTTGAATTGTGTAAATAAATGAAATACAATTATTTTAACCTGTTGTTCATTTTTATAATTATTTTTGGATCATATTTTAAAAAGGGACTTTTAGTGAATATTCATATTGAAATACATGTAGGAAGAGTGAGTTGCATTTATGTATTTTGTATGTTATGTCATATTTTTGCTGAGAATATTTATTTTCAAAAAATTGAAGCTAGACTGATGCTTTTTGTGTATTATTTAATTGCTATTATTATAAGTAAGGTTGTAAGAACAAACAAAAAAAGACCAATTTAGGTCAAAATTTTGCATATTGTGCTGCAAAATTAAGGAAATTGGAGAGAAATTTTAGAAAGCTTGCCAAAAAGTTACCGAAAACTGTGGCTCCGAGAAAACTCCATCATAAGCATATTTAATTACTATGAAAAGTGTGAAAGAGGAGAAAAAATATTTGAAAATTTACAATTTGAGTTAACATATTTAGTATCTATGAAAAGTGTGAAAAGGAGAAATTTTTTTTAAATTAATAAAAAACTATTTTCTAAACTAATTAGGAATTTTAATATAATAAAAATCAATTGAACATGGTAAAATAATTGGCTAGATGCTCAATAAAACGTTAATTATAAACACAGAAAAATACTAATCAACTGAACAAGGTAAAAAACAAAAATATTAAAATAAAGAAGCGCAGGGGTGTTTGTGCTCCGGGGAAACCCCGGAATTCCGTGGATTTTGAACTTCGATACCCAGAAATTCCGGGGATCGTCGTTCAAAAGGAAGTAGGAATAATAATGAATTATTTATTTTGATCTGGGTAATTTTGTTTGCTTTGAAAGCAGAAAATGCAAGGTCAGTGTGTGTGGTGAAAACTTTTCCTTTCTTACTCCAAAGGCAGTGATAATGCGTGAAAAGTGGGAAAAAACTTCTTTTTTGTTCTTTCCTTATTGCAAGTTATGACTCATTCCCCCGGTTCTCGGACATTCTCTTCTGGATTCTTTTCGGCAAGTAGGCGCAGCAGAAAAAAAAGGGAGAGACTTTGTTCGGCCAGATGTGCGATCACGTGACTCTGGGTTCAAAGGTCTTATCTCTCCTGGCGTGGCGCCAATAAGTAGAGAAGGGGGATTTTTCGCCATATTAGCTATTTGTCATTGATCGCTTCTCAACTTTTTTTTCTCCGCTGTGTCAAATTTTCGTTTAATTTATTGATGCACGTGTAAAATTTTTCATTTCGTTTATTGAAATATTTTTTTATTTATGTACGCAAGAGAATTTCACTATGAAATTTCTCGATATAAATAGTGATATTATACAATTAGAAGAAGGTGTCCGGAATGCATTTAGGTGGAATTGGATTGAACGGAGAGATGGTAATGGGGATACCATCGGCACATGGTGCAAGAAAATAAATGTTGCTGGACAAGCATATTGTGTTTTCTGTAACTCACTGCTGAAGTATGATGGAGAAGTATTCAAGGCATTCACAAATCATTCTAAAACTGTGACGCACATAAAATATTCAAAGTGCATTAGACATTCAAAGACTTTAAGTAATTTTGCTAATTCAAAAAATACTGATGACTTACTGGAGACTGAAAGCATGCCAAGAGGTATTAATAACTTTGTTTATCGCCGAGAATTCTCTTTCTTTCAATGTAGCTCCCAATTTGATTGAACACTGCAAATAGTTGAGCCGCGATCAGACGGCACTAAACTCGTTGGAAATGTCCAGGACTACTGCATGTTATAAGAGGAAATATGGGCTCGCAAAAACTATTAAGGAAAATATCATTAAAACTTTAAAGGAGACTCCATTTTCTCTAAATTTGGATGAAAGTACTAGCAATGCTCAAGAAAGTATACTGGCAATATTGGTGCAGTTTTATGACAACAATCAAAATGAAGTTGTAGTTCATCATGTTGCATCTTTAAAGATGGAATCTTGCAATTCAGAAGCTGTTTTTAAAGCAGTTGTTAATACTATTGAAGATAATAATATTCCATGGGCAAACTTAATTAGTGTATTAATGGACTCATGTAACACCATGCGTGGAAAAAAAAAAGGGTGTTGAAACCAGACTACGATCAAACAAAGCACCCCACTTATTAGATATTGATGGTGACACATGTCACACAGCTAGTAACTGTGCAAAAAAATTTGCTTCATGTTTTTATAGATACTTAGAAGATTTGTTTGATGACATCTATTTTGATATGAAAAGCTGCAGTAAAAGAGAAAATTTTTTCAAAATCCTGTGAATCCTTTGCCATTAAAAAACTTAAGCCCTTGAAGAGACCAGACCATAGGTGGGTGTACATTTTATGTGTTTTTTAGAAAGAATCAAAGATCTGTGGGATGCTCTTATTGCATTTTATTTTCACTACTTGGATAAAACTGATAAAGGGGATTATTTTTCTTATTTGAAACTGTATACAATAAAAGAAATATTTCTGCAGCTCAGAAAAAAATTGTTGAAAGGGGTGTATTCT